CCAGGCATCATAGTTGCTTATATTTTGAGCTGCTCTCTGCATTATGCAGATGACACAACCCTGCTTGCTCAAACTGAGGAGGACCTGAAGCGCTTGCTGCAGAAGGTCAAGGACTACAGCCTTCAGTATGAATTGAAGCTCAATATCAAGAAAACAAAGATTCTCACCACCGGGCCAATTGGCAGCATCATGATGAATGATGAAGAGATTGAAATTGATGCCAACTTCAGATTGCTCTACAACCAACACTCTTGGTACCAGAAGCCAGGAAACAACGAATTGCATTGGGAAAGTCTGCTGTCAGTGACGTTTAAAAAGTACTGAAGAACCATGGTGTCACTTGGGAGACTAAGGTTCGCCTGATACAGGCCATGGTCTTTTTAATTACTTGCTATGCATTAGAGAGTTGGACAATGACTAGGGATGATAGAAGAAGGATAGATGCCTTTGAGCTGTGTACTGGAGAAGAGTATTGAATGTACCATGGACTGCTAGGAAAACAAACATGTTTGACCTGGAGAGGGTGAAGCCAGGCTGCTCCTTGGAGGCAAGGATTCTGAAGCGTCTTCTGACATACTTTGAACATGTTGTAAAGCGGATCAGTCTTTGGAGAGGGACGTCATGCTTGGGAGGGTGGAGGTACAGTGCAGGAGGGGAAGATCCTTGAAGAGGTGGATTGATTCAGTCACTGGAGTAATGGGATAGGTGTGTCAGAGACAAGATTGGCAAGGGATAGAGCATGGTTTAGGGCTGTTGTACATAAGGTTGCTATGAGTCGCAGGCGACTCGACGGCATGTAACAATAACAACAACTGAAAGATCAGTGCTTGAACCCACCAGTCAGTCATTCAACAGGGGCAAAGTATGACGTTAAGCTCCTGTAAACATTTATAGCCTTGGAAACTCTGTTGGGGCAGTTTGATGCTACCCTAGAAGATGGTTGCTTTGAATTACCATCGACTTCATGTTAGTGAGCAGGGATTACTGATGGTTTCATGTCTTCCGGTACAGTGGTTATGAAACAAAAATGCCTTTTGGAATCACTCTCCCTCTCCCCCTCCCTCTCCCTTTCCCTCTCCCTCTCCCTTTCCCTTCCCTCCCCTCTCTTTCCCCTTCCTTTTCCTCTTTTCTCAACACCAGTGAACACTTCCCCTTCCCCTTCCCCTTCCCCTTTCTTTCTCAACACCAATGAGCACTTGCACAAAGGATCAGAGTGGCCTGCAGTCAGACAAAGACAGTTTCCTTTTATAGGGGCTTTTAGGGACAACGAGAGAGGGTGTTAGTTTGCTCTGGAATTTGGGACAGGGGGCCTGTCAATGTGTGAGCAGACCCAGGGCTTTATCAGGATCAGGTCATCTAGTCCCCGTACCAGGACATGTGAATGATTAGGGTTTTTTTTTCATAGTCCAATTTGGGAGTAAGGTCTGGAGATAGCTTCCTTCATTCCAGACCTCACAGGGTAGGGAGCAGGTCTGGAGTTACATATAGGTCCTTCCCGCTGGACAGGGACTACAGTGGGGCACTGGGTTGGGTTCCCCTTAAGTTGTGAAGGAGGACAGTTGTTTTCACATGGTCCTGGGTGGTGCTTCGTGAGGCGTTCTACTAAGCGTTTCTCTGCCTTTGGCTCAGCTGACTCATTAGAGGAATCAAGTTGTCCCTTGTCTTGAACCTTCTGAGTCATCAGCTTATCCATGTGAGACTGGATGACTGCCAATATCTCAGTCACAAGAGCCATGGCGTCCTATCGTGAAGTGTCAGGAGGGCACTCCAGGGGTCCGAGAGGAGGGAGTAGGATAACAGAAAGAGGAGTGATCAGCCCCAGTCCCTGGGCACCTCAGGGAAGGCCCTTGGACTCTTTACCTCAGTTGGAAGGGTAGCCTTAGTTGGTTGAGAATTAAGGCCAATGTTGGGTGCTGTTGGATTTAAATGGCAAATGGTCTTCAATCTTTGGGACCCGAAGGAAAGTTGAGAGGAGAGAGATAAGACAGAGGGAGGTACAGCTTCATGGGTAGACTTGCTGTATGGGTTGGCAAGTTGTGGAGAAGCTAAGAGCAGATCTTTGGCCTATGACTGCACATTCTTCCTAGTCAGGGAACCACTATGTTAGGGAAAAGGGTGGGGAGTGAGAGAGACAAAAGAAAAGAAGCTGGTCCCAAGTAGTGAACAGGTTTTCTGCCTGTATTTCTTATGGAAGATTCTTGACGAATATCAGGAACTGTTTTTGCCTCACTTCATGAGGAGTTACTTGTCATTGCTAGGATCTTGAGGTCAGTGTGGTTAGGGCTTTAGGATCTGCTGACAATGGAGAGACTGGGGTAGTGGTTACTGTGGCCACCAGGCTGGCCGTGTTTCCCCTCCAGGCTGAGAGAGCTGTGTCCTCCTGCTGGGGTGGGGCAGCACCATTGGCTTGGAGACCGTCCAGATAACGTTAAGAGATGGGTGGGCAGATTCCAGCATCTCAGACACAATCACCTACTTTGCATCAGTGCCAATGAAATAGAATTTCAAGAATGGTGTTTACTGGGGTGGAGTGTATTCTTGAATAGCTAGCATAGTTTTCATTCATTAAACTTTTAAATGCTTTCTCTCTATTGGGTGCTGCCAAGGCCTACTGGTCCCTGTGTCCAGGGATCTCCCAGTCTTGTAGGAGATACACACAGGTAAAGAATTATGACAGCTGTTAAGGGCTATGACGGGGACAGAACATAAAGTTATGGAAGCCCACAGAAAGGACATCAGTACCGCTTGGACTTATGATGTCTGTCATGGGGCCAGAACACTGAAAGTTGGTTTTAAAACTAAATTACCATCTAAAACCAATTACTGCCTTATATTCTTCATGTAATATAAAGAACTTGGGAATCAGGAGTGGCTTGGTTTCCCAACTGGACTCTGCAGTCTTGGCTGTGGGACCTGGAACTAGTTAATGAATCGAGCATTGTTTTCCTCAGCTGTGAGATGCATGCCTCTTGTGGGACTCTTTCTTTACTTTATTTCATAACTATTCATAGAAATAACATCAAGCAAGAGCCCCAAGCCCTGAGTTGGTTTAGTGTTTTGTTTTGTTTTTATTGTTATTATTGTTGATGATTTGATTCCATGATTCTTTGTTCCACAAGAGCGTTTGTTGAGGGCTTCTGTGTGCTGGGCACTGTGTCGGCACTGGGGTTCCTGTGGGAAACCCTCGTCTATTTTCAGTCCACTGGGTGTATTACTCATCTGCTGATGCATAATAAATCACTCTCTATCTTCATGGCTTTAAGCAGCAAGGATTATTTCTCACGGTGGTGCAGGGTGGCTGGGTGGTCTTCCCAGTGGTCTCACTGGAGGGTCAGCTGGGGTGGGCTCAGCTGGGACAGATAAGCATTTTTTTTCCTAGTGACTTTCTGTCCTCATGTGGCCTCAGAGTTTTCAGAGGGTGAGAGAGGAGATTGCACAGCCTCTTGTGATCAGGGCTTAGAAGTCACCCAACAGCACTTTCAGCTTGCCTTATTGGCCCAAGCAAGCCAAGTGGACTACTGGCTGGGAGCCCATCTTTGAGCCCATCTGATTCAACATGTTTGCAAGTCAGAAAATCAATACATGTCAATAATAAGCAAAGAAGAGATTTAAGAAATCACTTCAGAATGTTTGTGAAGGTCAAACATAGCTGAGAGAGAGACTAGAGAGGAGAGCATGGTGTGAGTCTGTTTCTACAGATGAGTCTAGAAAGTTCTTCCTGAGGAGTTGACATTTGAACTAAGTCCTGGAGGATGAGAAAGGGCCAGTCATCCCAAGAACAAGGGAAGTTCATTCAGGGAATGGGGACACCTGAGACAGATAAGAAAGAACTTATGTGAGGGATTGGAAGCCGCCATGCCTGGATGATGAAGTGAAATAATCTGAGTGATGCCTCAGAAGCCATTGTTGTTTACCATTGAGTCAGAAACAACCCATAGCTGACTCTCCAGCAAGTTTTCAAAGACAATAAATTGCACATAATAGGGCTGCATTTATATTAGAGTGGAGTTTTTCCATTCCAGATAAAGCAAGGTAGAAATATGCTTACCTGAAGATTAGATGACATTCAGTTTCATTAACTGAACGGATCTAATGTGTTAGCTAGGACTGGGGTATAAATGTTTTTGCACAAAGCTTGGATTTGGAAAAAGAGGAAGCTGTTGACCTATTTTGCAAACACATTCCCCTACCAGGTTTGTTTTGTTGTTTAGTATTTTTTTTTAATTGCCCTTGATGTTTTTTAATGGCATTTCTTACCTTTCATGGATATTTATTTCCCTTTTCTCCTGAGAGAAGAATACTTACAAGCCAGAGATGATTCCCAATCTCTTCTTTCCCTTAGTTATTAGAGGCAGGAGATTCAAGAAGGAATGAGGAATGCAGTCCCTCTGAGAGTTTCTTCTCCTTCACAGGGTGTGAATGTGACTTGGAAGGCGTTCTCCCTGAAATATGTGATGCCCGGGGAAGGTGCCTCTGCCGCCCTGGGGTGGAGGGCCCTCAATGTGATACCTGCCGCTTAGGTTTTTACTCATTCCCCATCTGCCACGGTAAGTGGGTAAAATATTGTCATAAGCTCTTACTGAGTCGGCAAGGACTCTACGCTCACCAACAAAAAATTGTCCTGTCCTGTCCCATCACCATGGTTGCCTTTGAACCAAACCACTGGGATCATAGTTTTCCTTGCTGATTTTTCAGAAGTTGATTGCCAGGCCTTTCTTCCTTGTCTTTCTTAGTTTAGAAGCTCTGCTGATATAGTTACATCCACGTCTCGGCTAATGGGTGGTGGCTGCACATGAGGGGTGCTGGTCAGGAATGGAAACCAGGTCTTCCTTATGGAAGCCAGAAATTCTATCTTTGAATCACTAAAATCCCAGGCAAAACACAGCATGATTATAATTAGTAATTAGTCTGCTAAGATCAATTTCCTCCTGAGAAATTGAAGAGGGCCTTACTAGTAGAGCTGCATGCCTACAACTTAATAATGAGTCTTATGCACGTCTATTACGTATAGTTGTCCTGTCTGGGCCTTATCCCCTCCTTTCTTTGACTTCTATTCCTACCCGTTCTTGTCTCTGATTGGAGTTAATCTTAATGGTTCCAGCTCAGGTCTCCAGTTTTCAATCTTGGCTCTGGAGAGGAGCTGGTAACTGAACACTTTAGGACACATAGGAAAGGAGCAGGATGTCTTGAGTGAGGGAACAGGGCCATGAAATCGCTGGGTCTGTTTTATGCCCCATTCTAATATAAGCTCTTGAAATGAATGGAAGGGAAAAAAGTTGTCTGGTCCAGTCCCTCGAGCACTTAGATACCCAGTAAATGATAGGGAGCTCTAATGGTTCAGTGGTCAGGAGTTACACTGTCAACACAAAGGCTTGTCGTTTGAAGCCACCAGCTGCTTTGAGGGAGAACTCCCTCCTGTGTGATTTATTGCCTCGCACAGTAAATCACCGGTAGGTCTGCTGTGAATTGGTTCCAACTTTGTAGTACTTAACAATAACAACAACAAAACATGCTAGAAGAGTGAGCTGATGAATGAATTATCCCAAGTTCTCCCCACTGTCTGCTGTTGTTCTTTCTTCAGCTGTGAACGTGGTAGGGAAAGGAGGTGGAAGAAGAAGGGATGTTATCAGTCAGGGCTCAGGAAATAAACATCACGTCAGTATTAGAAACAGAGTGACTTACTGTGCTAATTAAATACACAAAGTTAAGAGCTGGAGAAGCAGACCCTGGGAGAACGTCCAAAGATGCATTCAATAGAAGTGCCATGTTTTCAGACCAGGCTGCTGTGGCTGCTGTTCAAGGATGGGAAGACTTGATGCTGCATCCACAGCCTTCCCTTTGCACCCGGGAAGCTGGAGAGGAAGGTGCAGCTGTAGAAACACTCAGGGAGGAACAGGGAGGGAGCCTCCCATGCTGTCCCTTGCTCTGTTTGGACAGCAGCTTCTTGGTTTAGGTATAGGTTTTACACGAGCACAATCAAGTATTCTGGGATTCCCATTCTTCATAGTGTTATCTGTAATTTGTTATGATCCACACAGTCAAACGCCTTAGCATAGTTAATCAAAGAGCTAACCATCTTTCTGGTATTCTCTGCTCTCAGGCAGAACCCATCTGACGTCAGCAATGAGAGGTCTCTAGTCTCATAGCCTTTTTAAAAAATATTTTTTATTATTAATTTTAATGAAAGTTTACAGCAACTTTGGATTTCTATGCATTCATTGTTGCACTTTTCTCCCTGCCCAACCTGTCACAGTCTTTTTCTGAATCCACTTTGAAATTCTAGCAGTTCCCTGTCAGTGCACCATTCTATCCATTTTTAAGAAATATTTCAGCAAGACTTTACTTGTATGTGATATTAATGATATTGTTCTATAATTTATGCATTCTGTTGCATCACCATTTTGGGGAATAGGAACCAATGTGGATCTCTTTGAGTCGTCCAGGTAACTGTCTTCCAGATTTATTTTGGCATGGAGTACTGAGCACGTCCAGGTCTGCATCTGTTTTTGAAGCATGCCAGTTGATATTCCTCCCTTCCTGGGGCCTTTGTTTTTATAAATGCCTCCGGTACATCTTGGACTTCTTCTCTCACTACCACTGGTTCTTGTTCATGTGCTACTTCTTGAAATCATCCCATGTCCACTAGCTCTTTGTGGCTGGTACAGTGACTCTGTGTCTTCCTTCAGTCTTCTTCTGATACTTCCTGAATCATTCAAGATTTTGTGCATGGAATCGTTGAGTGTTGCAACTCTAGACTTGAATTTATTTTTTCAGTTCTTATGACTTAAGAAATAGGAAACATGTTATTTTTTTATTTTCAAACTACTTGCACATTTTATTGTAATACTTTGTCTTCTCAAGCTTCTCTTTGAAATATTCTGTTCATCTCTCTTATTTCAGCATTTCTCCCTTTCTTTTGACCTCTGTATGCTCTAGTACAATTTTCAGAGTCTCCTCTGGCATCTCTTTTGGTCTTTTTTTTCTTCTCTGTTTTTGTAATGACCTTTCACTTTTTTCATGAATGATAGCTCTGATGTCCTCTCACAACTCCTCCAGTCTTCCATCATTAGTATAAAATGCCTCAAACCTGTTCTTAAAATGGTTTTTAAATTCGGATTGATTCGCAGTCATATTTTAGTTCTTTTGCCGTTGTGCTAATTTTCTTCAATTTGAACTTGCGCATGAGTGTTTGTTTCACAGTCAGCTCTTGGTCTTGTTTTAGCTGCTGATATTGAACTTCTCTAATGACTCTTTCCACAGATGTAGTCCATCTGATTCTTACATTGTCCATCAGGTGAGGTCTGTTGTGTATATAGTCACTGTTTGTGATTTTTTTAAAAAGGTATTTGTAATGAATAAATCATTGTGCAAAACTCAATCACTTGATCTCCCACCTAATTTCTCTTACCAAGTCTGTATTTTCTTTGTTTCCAGCTGAGATGAGAGGAATCTGACTGTGTGGTTAGGATGTGTGGGTTTCTCCTGTGGCCAGACGTGGGAGAGTCTAACTGGAGTGTCGTAGATCATCAGTGGGGCCCCCAAAAGGTATTTTGAGATCTCAAATGAAGAGGCTGAAGCTACTATCCAGATGATTAAGGGTTAAAGATGGAGTAACAGCAGTGGGACTAGAGAGAAGCAGTCATTACTTGGGTCAGGGGAATGGCAGCACAGAGGTGCCCATCAGGAATCCCTCCCACAAAAGGTGCTGGGAAACACCCTAGGATATTGAATCAGTCTGCCATGCCCAGGGGCCTGCATTCACTGCAGTACTGGTTCAAGAACATTCTTTTAACCTTCCTTCTTTTTCTTCCTCCTCCTTTCTTCTTCTTTTCTCCAGGCTGAGGGCACATATAAAGTTAAAGGCAGGATTGGAGGAAGATGCCCAGTTCTATGCCATCACCATTACTGCCATTATCGCTACCACCACCACCCACACCCTCTGCTGCAGGCTGTTCCCCTCCACTGGCACCCAGACATTTAACTAGAAACTGAGCTTCAGCTTGAAAGTTGCTCTTTTAGCTAAGACTACACTTGAAAGTCTTAGAGTGTACTAGACTTTTTTATTCAGGGGCAGGAGGACAGTCTCCCTGACTGAATGAAATTTAGCAGAGAGTTAGTACCAGAGGAATGTCTATCTGGGTTTCATTGACTATGCAAAAATATTTGACTGTGTGGATCATGACAAATGTTGGTTAACCTTGAGAAGAATGCGGATCCTAGAACCCTTAATTATGTTCATGCAAAACATATACTTGGATCAGGAGGAGAGGAGGGAAACGCTGCATGGTTCAGGATCAGGAAAGATGTGTATCGGGGATGAATCCTATCTACACCATACATTTTCAACTTATATAACAGATCGTTTGAGAATCTGGGCTTTATGAGGTAGATTGTGATATCAGGCTTGGAGGAAGATTCATTAATAATCTGCATTTTGAAAATGACACAACCTTGCATGTTGAAACTGAAGAGGACATGAGGTATTTGCTGCAGAAGGTCAAGGATTATAGTCTTCAAAACGGATTGAAGCTCAATATCAAGAAAACAAAGATTCTCATCACTGGGCTGACTGGCAGCTTCACCATGGACAGAGAAGAGACTGAGATTGTTGATAACTTCAGCTTGCTTAGTTCCACAGTTAACACTCTTGGCACCAGCATTCAAGATATCAAAAGGTGAGTCTCTGCTCAGGGACCTCTCTAGAGTACTGAAGAGCAATGATGTCAGTCTGGAGTCTAAGGAGATCTAAGTCTTGGACTTCGCAATTACTTGCTGAGCATCAGAGAGCTGGACAATAAGTAAGGATGTTAGAAGAAGGATTGATGCCTTTAAGTTGTGGTGCAGGAGAATAATGTTGAACATACCATGGACTGCCAGGAGAACAAACAAATAGGTCTGTCCTGGAGAGGCTGAAACCAGTTTGTTCCATGGAAACAAGGGTTGTTTTGGTCCGTCTCGTATACTTTGGGCACAAGGCCAGGAGGGATCAGTCCTTGGAGAAGGACATCATGCTTGGAATGGTAGAGGAACAATGCATGAGAAGAAGACCCAGGATGAGATGGATTGAATGAATGACTGATGGGATTAGGTCTGTCGGAGATGATGAGATTGGTGTAGGATATGGCCAGTTTCAGAGCTAATGTACATAGGGTCTCTATGAATCGCAGATGACTCGATGACACATAAGAACCTCCACCACCTTGTATTTAGTTAATAGAGGAATTGTGCTTGTTCAATGCACAATCTTGTATAACACCCTAAAAGAGGACTGTGAAAATTTATGCATTTCTCTCCCAAGAGATTCTCTCAGCCTCCTTGTTTTATTTTTTAAAAATAATTGTACCAAGTTTGATTCTTAAATATACATCCTTCCTGTTTCCAGCCGAGAGCAAACAGTCTGTTTTGGTCTCAGGCAGATCTGGCTCTGACTGGATAATATTATCTGTGCCTGAATCAGTCACAAAGGCCATGAGATTCACTGTGCTGATTGGCTGACCTCAAACCTACCCAAATCCATGAAACTAGGGAGGGTGTCTGCGCATCTGAA